GAACGCGTGGCATCAGCACTGGAAATATAAGTTTGTCTTACTACTTTTAATGAAGATGATTGTGTGTTGACCGTCTGCATCTTACTTTGTTTCATTCGCGGCAGTTTGCGCGTCGAATTTATATCCGTCTCGAATGTGTTTCGGAGGGCATTTACACCTGGTCTTTTCACAATCGGATAGCTATCCGATCAGAAAAAACGCATGAAGTGACCAGGTGTAAACAGGCCCTAAGACGCAGACGGTCAACACACAATCATCTTCATTAAAAGTAGTAAGACAAACTTATCTTTCCAGTGCTGATGCCGCGCGCTCTCCTATTACAGTCTTTGATCTTGAAATGAGCTGATAATTAATCAAATGCAGTGCTTATCTTTTTATTTCGTTGACGTGAACTCCGTTAAATTTAAATATAGCGCGGGAATTGAAAATCGGATTTAAATCCGTTTTGCGACGACACATTTATGTGGCCAAGTGTAATTGGAAACGTTTTAACAAATCAGATAGATATCCGATCAGCAAAAACGCATGAAATGACCAGGTGTAAACAGGCCCTCAGCCTCACAGACTGCCCACACTCTATCCACTGAGCACCTGATTCATATTATGTGATTGGCAGACTTAAACAGCTTTTCAATAGTAGAGGCCTGTTCACATCAAGAATTATAACAAAAACTATGTTCGTGTCCACACCTGCGGTAGAGAACGCTTGTAGAATTAGAACAAGTACTAAAACTATATAGTTAAGCCCCTGATACACTTTTCGTTCTTTGCTGAGGAGTAAAAGAAGATGGGAGCCTGCCTCTGACCAATGGTAAACAACAGCTTTGGAACTTTTGGAACTATTGTATGGAGCTGTTCTGGAAAGTTCACTTTGGCAAGCTGTTTTGAACTCCCCAAACTAACTTTATTTTGGCCTGGTTTTGTTCAAAATCAGGTTTATTCTTTGATTTTGCTTGATGTATATCAGGGCCTTTAATAGTTCTCGTTATCATCTTTGGTGTGAACAGGCCTTAAGGGCACACGTCTAGTCTTATTTTATATGATTAATTTCAGATAAACCCATCCCAAAGTGGCACATAAAAACTAAATGAACAGAATGGTTGCAGTCAGTATCTGAATGTCTAAGTGCACAGTTCTTGGCCAGAACACACTGTGGACTAGACTTTTTGGAGTTCAGATCTGGCTTTGTGAGACCACTTGGTCCCAGTAAAAGTGTCCTGTTTCTTAAGTATTTTCTGACAAACACTGGTTTCCTCCTTGCTGTTCTTTCTTTTGTTTGAATCATTTTGAGCGGCTTCCATTGACACCACAAACCTCCTGGATCTCATTCTTCATGTTGGTAATTGGATGTATTTTGGTTAATACTGACCACTCTGGAAGCTTTCTAAAGCAGGTTTAGGAGAGGCCTTTCTGTTCATACACAGGTAGGCAATGGAATAGTCATGTAGTGTAAGACCCTGTGTTTTCCCAGTTCCACCCTGTGTTTTTCCCAATATTTCCATAAGATCTGAAGATCCTATTTATGCACAACCCAGGGTTCTGACTGCACCAAATCTGCTTGTTTCCTTCAACTTACATTTATTTGCAGGATTGACGCTTATATTCTCAGTGCTCAGGAATTTTTTCTTATGGCTCCCATAAGAGGATAGCATTGCTGGTTGTCCTTCCCAACAATATCCCTGTTTACTTGGATAAAGTTGGACTTCCATGGAGATGCATGACCATCTGTGATAAGTCTTTGGGAATTGTTAATGAATTCTGTAAGCCATCAAGTGGTCCAGTTACTAGGAACAGTGTGTATTTGAATGGATATGTGTGCCATTACTGCCAAAGTCATTTTATGATGTATTTTTGCTCATGTGAATTTGTTTCATGCTTGTAAGGATCCAGTAGTCGTGGGCTGCTGTTCATTCATCTCCCTTGACCATGCCTCCTGCACATAGACACATAATAACGACATTCGCGTGAGTGCCTGAGCTGTACAAGGGAAAATGGACCATTAGATACCACTGCAAGCTCATAAACATGAGTGCTGAGGGACCCCCGAGTACAAATAAACACCCATAGCTAATCCGCCTCTGCATGTAATGTGGCTAATTGGTATAATGGATTAGTTTAGGAAGCCAAATTGGCGAAAAGCATTTTATAGACTTTAATAATGACCCTCCCTTCCCTTTCACTGCTAGAGAACATTGTGTCTCAATGAATAACACTGTTTTCATGTAAATAGGTAGTTGGCACTACATCAGTCAGTTACTTTAAAACAGATAATGACGGTACCCTACTGCATGTGTTTGTGTGAGTGTGCTTGTGTACATGTGCATGCCGAACTCTCCCTCGTTCCTTCTTAACTTGACACTTTCTTAATCCGAATGTATGTTGTGTTTTCCTGCACAGCCCCAGACAAACAGCACCAAAAACAGCATAGTCACCAGTCCCAAGGGAAACCTCCCCTCTCCTGCACTGGTATTTACCTCTCTAGTCCTTTTCTTTTCTTCCAATCCATTCTTTTTTTCCCCCTCTGTTTGTGACTGCACTTGCAATCTTTAGTACAATAAGGATTTTTTGTTTGTTTGTTTGTTTTCTTGTGTGCTGTTTTACCAACTTTTTCATTGCATCTGAGTGCAAGCCTATATTAAAAAAAAAAAATTGCAATTTAAAGCTGGTAATAAAATGAAATAATATAAACACAATGTATTTTATAATGCAAATGTTAAATGCAAAGATACGGTGTTTAGAGCAGAAAATAAAATGTATGTACTGTATAAACAGTGCATACAGTGGCCTCTAAATATATTTGTGTACTGAAGCTGCCCTTAAATTGTATAAATTTAAATGAGTTGGATATCAAACCAGTGGCATTTGATATTAAAGGGATAGTTCACACAAAAATAAAAATTCTGTCATTAATTACTCGCCCTCATGTCATTCCAAACCCGTAAGATCTTTGTTCAGATCTTCGGAACACACATTAAGCGTGTTATGTAAATAACTTTATTTTTATAATTATATAATAATTATTTTTTTATTAAATCTGAGAGCTCTCTGACCCCCCATAGACAGCAAGGGTACTACCACGTTCAAGGCACAGAAACGTAGTAAGAACATCGTTAAAATGGTCCATGTTTGATGATTAGTTATCTAATGCACTGACATTCTTGCATTTTTAAGGGTGTCTAAAATGATGAAATACTTTTGGGGCCATTATATTTCTGTATTTGAACTGTGGTCAGTGAGTGAGCAGTGTCAGCATCATCATTATGATCTGGATTGGTTTGGGGATAGGAACTCCTGCTAGGGCTCTTAGAATCAGCCCTTAAACTATTCTTACGGTTTCCTGGCTGCAGTGGTGAGAAGCGGCTGTTTGGTTCACTGAGATCCTTAATGGTGTTCCTCACTTAAATCCACTGGGTCTAGTATACTGTAGTTGTCAGTTGAGTTGAATGTTTACAGTTCTGAGCAGTGCTGTTGCCATTCCAAGTGTGTTATGTGTGCATCTCAGGAAGTTTGAAGATCAGCATTTATTTGTAATAGAACATTCCAAATGTCTTTATTGTCATTTTTGATTAATACAATCAATTTATTTCAAAAATCTTACTGACAAATATGTGTGTATATATTTATTTTATATTTGAGAGATCTGTGAATTCACTAGGAATTGCGCCTGCTGATTACATACATTATGAATAAATCATTTATTTTATTTGCAAGCTTCCCTTATATTAAACACTTTTATACGCAATGCTAATTGGATCAAGTGAAAGGAGGTTTGTTTGCGCTGAAAAGAAAAATATTTTTTAATTTAAAGGTGCAGCACTATTCCAGAGCAAGTGCCATCTAGTTAAACGGTATTGTAAGTGCTTTATGAACATTTTTAAATGACCCAGCCTTAAAGTGGCACAACTGTTTTTTTAATTTACCCTTATGCTTTTTGGATCTGTCCATGGACCCAGTTAAGCTCTGTTTATTCAGTTGCACTCTGTCATTCTGATATATTACTATACACTCTAGTCACACATTTATGGGGTTGTTTTTTTTGATTGCATAATGCCAGTTTGACTTTCAGTTTCTGCTTTGATCGGTAGGTAATGAAGGTTGTTTATTGCTTGGAGTTGGCAGGGAATTTAATAAATGCCATTATGCCAGCATGGTGGGTACATGGGTGATGTGATTATTTAATGTTTAATGACATGCTTGAGGGATATAGATGGATCGTCTATGTTCTGAGGGGATTTTTGTAGATTTCTGTGGTCTGTAAAAGCTCCGTGAAGAGGTTTTAGAGTGAACCCTGAGCATTAAGGAAGGAAGCTCCTAATGGAAACATGACATACATTCCAACATATACAGTTATTGCAACACGTGGCATCAGAATATTTTAGGATCTCTCATAGTTGCCCTTTAATGCTGCCACTGTGGAGTTTGTGTGCTGCTCGTGTGTGTGCGTTTTATGGTGCAGATATAGTTACTCAACCTTGAAGTGAAGTGAGGAGGTGTTTATGGTCAGAAAAGACTCTAGCCTCAGTGCTTTGTTTCATGGCTTCCCTTCCAGCTTTACTATTAGCTGCACAATTGTGTAGGACTGGATGATATTTTTATTTTGTACCCTTTTGATATATCTCCATATTTATGTTTTTGTATTTAAAATTTGCTTTGCCTTTAAATTTTTTTCACAATAACCATTACTTTAATCAAGCAGCCAAGGATATTTAAAATGTTATATGTAAGAACTAAAAAAACATAAAGATTATGTTTACATAAACATTAAAAATAATTAAATCTTATTTTTTTTTAAATAGACAGTTTTTCACTAACTAATCTCTTCTAACTAATTTATGTGCCAGGTGCCAGTATAACAATGCATGGTAATATACAACACATTATATACTTGCATATATTTTCTGTATTTTTGAATATTTTACTGAAATTTTTTAATATTTGGAAAAAATAATCATTTAATAATGACAGATACTGATATTTAATGATGACAGAAGTATTGAGTTTGAAGATAAGAGTTTGAACAGGAGAATTTGAACTGTACCAACACTAACACTGTTTTAATCAGACACCATTAATGTCATAATGCAAAAATAAATATAAAGCAATATAAATATATTTTTATATGTAGCTATGTGACAATAACAATTTTATCAGTAAGACTAATCAACTAAATTTCTTAAAGGTATAGTTCATCCAAAAATGAAAATTCTGTCATTTATTCACCCTCAAGTTGTTCTAAACATGTATGAATTTATTTCTTCTGTTGAACACGAGAAGTTATTTTCAGTTGACAGTAGCCATTGACTTCGGTAGTATTTTTTTCAAGTCAGTGGCTACTGTCAACTGTTTGGTTACCAGCAATCTTCGAAATATCTTCTCTTGTGTTCAACAGAAGAAAGAAATTCATACAGGTTTGGAACAACTTGAGCGTGAAAAAATGATGATGCAATTTTAATTTTTGGCTAAACTATCCCTTTAAAAAGGAAATTAACTGTTAGCATTCGCAGCTTCTTATAGACTCTGGCTGCGTCTGAAAGCCTAGGCAGCTGGCTTGCTGCCTAGCTGCCTTATGAGGCAATGACTTTGCAGGCAGCGTTTTTGCATGAAGGCACCTCATGAAACTGATTTCGGACAGGCTTCTGAGGCAGCGTAACGGTTTAATGATCTACAACAAAATAAAACGAGTTTTGAGGATAACTAAATGAATATTTAATTATTATAATATTGATTTCTCGCTAGAAATAACATCAAAAGTGCAAAAAGTTAGTCAGAATCATACATTTAAACACAAACTGACCACCAAACGCAACTTTCAGGCGCCATCTTTATTTTTTTATCTCAACCGTCATGGAATGGAACGCACAGGATTGTGGGATATCAAAGGCAGCGAAGGATACATCTATGCTGCCTTCAAAATTCGATCAGAAGAAGGTACCTCCAGAGACAGGAAGTGAAGCAGAATTTGTATTCGGACGTGCCTTGATGCCGTCCTGCCTTGGAATGCTCCCTCCGAAGGCAGCATTTTAGAGCTTTCGGACACAGCCTCTGTGTCCATAGTAACTTTAGCATGCAACTGCTGCCTGTTGCACGGGGCAACGGTTGTCATGGCGATGAATACCTCATAATGATGGGTATCACAGGCTGCTGATTGGACAATAAGGGAATGTTACTTCCTGCGAGAGAGAAGTGGGCATTACAAATTTATGCGGTCTGATGTGTGTCTAGCTAGCAGGTTTCCGGGGTTGACACGTACGTAGAGGAGACGGATTAAAATAAACATTTAAGTATAGCGGCTGCGATAGCATCCGCAGTCGTTCTGTTCGCTATTTCACTTTCAGCGATTTCAGGCTGATTTTGTCCGTTCGTAGTTGATAGTTTTGAAATATTGGAGCCTAACGTGCAGTAATTTGTTTTATGAAGCTCTCTGGTGGTTTTTGTGCACGTTTTGTTTGTTCATTTTTTACTGGTTTGGCAATCACAAACACCCATCCACCCACACACGCTCTCTCTCTTCTTTTTTCTCCTCATGTTTTTCCACCCCCTCCTCCCCTGTCGCTCTGTAGGAGACACAGACCACTGTCATCCATAATGCAGTGGATGGGATTAAGGTAACCCACCACCAGCACCACCACCACTCTTTCTTTTCTTCCCACCATCCGTCCTCTGTTTGATCTGCATCCCCACAATGCATTTCTGCTAATGTGACTACAGACTATGACATAATCTGAGCGTGTGTGCCTGTTGGCTGCTGCGTGACCCTTTTGAAGTTTAATGTGTACTCGTGCTAGTACTCTTTAGATCCGGTTGAATAACTCATTACTATTAAGAAATTGCATCTTTTAACTAAACATAATGTGCAAATGTGTAAACGTATTCCTCGAATGAAACGCATGTCGTGTTGAAGGGTTGAGTCGTTTGTTTGCCGCTCCTTTTCATATGTGCTAGTGTGATTGTTTCACAATTAATCGACGGTCTGTTTAATAGTGATGTTTATTAATGATTGTGATGATGGGAAATGACTCTTGACACATCAGATGTTTGCCGTATGAGGCCGAAGAGCAACATTTGGAAATCTGTGTCATGATGAGAATATCAAACCTGCCGTCTCAGGTCTCTCTGTTTCCGACTGTGTGGTGTAGAGACCTCTTGTGGTGCTCATTGAAAGTGCAACTTGCGAAACAATCTCCCTTGACATTAAAAAATTCTTTTTGACAGTCATTATTTTGTACAATTGCATTTTGTACTTCTAGTGGAAGAGAAATTACACAATTCATCTTTAAAAATAAAACATAAATAGAAATTAAATGGAATGATTTTAAATGTAAATATTTATTTGAAATATAATTTTTTGTAATGCCTGTGCGGTCATTTTTGATTAATTTAATGCATCCGTGGAAAATAAAAGTAGGCCTGTAATATTACTAAAAATCTCTTTGATTCTCCCAGGTGGCAGTAGTGAAGTCTAGATCTGGGCGCAGTTTTTCTGCCAGTGGTTGCTGTTCTGTGTGAATTCTGAATTGGTCTTAATTTCCCCCTAGAAAATGAGCTATTAGACCCTTGCGTGGGAAGCTGTCCATTTCGCCACGTTTGCCACTTTCTTTGTACAGGTGTAACAAGGTTTGTAGCACAGCATAGATGATGGAATGAGAGAACAAAAGCCTTTTCAGGAGCACCTAATAATATCGGCCCACATACTGATGGCCTATTTACAGCAGGAGCTGGTGTCCTTGGTGATCGCTACGGTTACACTGTGACAGGTGCACGGTCCCGTTTCTCAGGTGACCATGCCCCCCTCCTCCTCCTCCTTATTTCCTATTGAGACTTCATTCTGTCGATTAATTCAATTGAGCAATAAGGTACAAGAGGAAGTGCTGTAACGTGCTGTGTAAATACTTACCGCTACAAGGTGTTGTTGCAAACCCTTCAGCTTTGACTGTTTTCTCAATATAGCTGGACTCATTTAAAAATAGGAAATATTTTTAAAACATTATTTTAGTAAGAATTTTATTGCAATCCAACAGTGGTTTTGCATCAGGACTCTGCTTTAAATTAGACATCAAGTGGTGACTCAACACAGCACCAAAATTATTTATCATGCAGGTGAACATAGTAAATTATTATTATTTTTTTATTTTATTTTTATTTTTTTACTCATTTATTTATTTATTTATTTTACAATAAGGGTTATTATAGTAAACTAAAACCAAAACCATTAAAAAGTTGTTGCTTGAAATAAAATGAACTTTTTAAACCCTTAAACTTCAATTAGTGTAACTTGATCTACTGAAATTACTAAAAATAAAACTGAAATGAAAATTTGTAAAAAAAAAAAATACATAGATATATTTTTATATAGCTTTAGTTTATTTCTATTTTAGTGATTAGTAATTCAGTATTTCAATTTAAACCTATTTATTTCAGTTAGCTGCCATGACAACATTTCTGATTTTTGTATACGTTTTATATTTTATTTCCACGTTATTCAATTACCAAAAATTATTTTAAGTAAAAATAATAGTTTAAGTTAAAAAAAAATGTATTTAACAGTAACAACACTGGTTTATCCTCACTGCAAGTTAGTACGTAATGTCTGTTTACTTTCACTTTTTCCTTATATATTTTGTTTGTGTTATAAAGTTTTTTGAAGATTAGGATTAGAATTTGATTGGCTTCTAATGCCAAAATATCTATACATCTATAGTACGATTGGACATAACCTCAATTTACAACTCCACGCTTTGCATTTAGTGTGCTTAGTAAGACCCATCAAATCGCATCCAACAATATGAACTTGAATTCACATGATGCAAAATAAAAGTGCATCCAGTATGCACCAAAGAAGACTGCAGGAGGCCAAGAGTGTGTTGTTTTATATTACTGTCTGTTCCTTACACAAGCGTTTGTAGTACTGTTGTAATTAGTGAAGCCCGTCTCTCAGATTTCAGCACAGGATATTGTGAAATTTATTGGATATAGGATATTGTGAAGGAAAGAGTATTGAGTTCATAATGTTCATTCCTGGTGGAGGTGTGGCCTGTGTTTAATATCATTATGTATGTGAGTGGGATTATAACAAACATAACAAGCCTCTTCTAACAGTCGTGCTGACATGGACATGCATCATTGAACGGTTAATTGTGCATGTGATTCCCCAGAGTTCTGCTGTGTACATGTTCATTTCTAGTATGTGTATAACAATGAGAGTGAGGACTTTGGCCCTTGTTGGTATTCTTTCTGAAAAATTTCAATATATTGTCTGACTAATTGGTGTTCTGTGTCTGAATATCACAGGAGTCGTCGGACAGCAGTAATGCCACAGTGGAGGATGAGGAAATGAAAGGTAAGACTCAACTATCAGCATTTGTATGGAACAACACACACTGCAGCTTTTCAGCAAAGATTTCTAAGGTTTTGTTCAGACAGGCTGCAAAAATATTATAGTTGTTTGTAGTCTGAATAGCAAAAATAATATAATACTGTGTGTCTGTAGTTTAAAATCCAAATAAATTTGTTCAGTACATTCAGGTTGTCATCTTTCTACAATGACATCTGCTCTCTTATGTGTTTTCACATTGGGCTGATTCGAAAGGGATTGTTCACCCAAAAATGAAAATGATGTATTAAATAATTAAAAATGAATAATTATTTACTCACTTTTGTGTCGTTCCAAAACGGTATGACTTAGTTTCTTCTCCAAAACACAAAAGAAGAGGTTTTAAAGAATGTTTTAACTGTTTTTGTCCATACAGTGAAAGTCAGTGGGGTCCAAAACAACACTGAACCCCACAGACCAAAAAATAAATACATTCTTGAGAATATCTTCTTTTGTGTTCCACAGAAGAAAAAAAATACAGGTTTGCAAAGACACCAAGGCGAGTAAATTAATCTTCATATTTGGGTGTACTAATCAGATTTTACATAGCTACAGAACAAACGGTCAGTCCTAAAGTTCACATTTGAAAAACAAATCAGATTTACACTACCATTTAAAAGTTTGGGATCCTTTTTTTTTTTCTTAAAAGTAACTTTTATTCAGCAATGATTGAATTGATAGAAAGTGACAGTAATTACATTTACAATATTTCAAAAGTCTTCTTTTTCAAATGAATGCTGTTCTTTTGAACTTTCTATTAATTAAAAAAAAATGGTATCCTCTAAAATATAATGCAGCACAGCTGTTTTCAATGTTGATAATAAGATTTTTTTTTACATTATCATTATTGTGCACAAATTATTAGAATGACTTCTGAATGATCATGTGACACTGAAGACTGGCGTAATGGCTGCTAAAAATTCAGCTTTTCCATCACAGGAATAAATTAAATTTTAAAGTATATTAAAATAGAAAACAGTTCTTGTAAATTGTAATAATATTTTACAATTTCACTGGTTTTACTGTATTTTTTATCAAATAAATGCAGCCTTAGTGAGCATAAGAGACTTCTTTCAAAAATATAAAAATCTTACTGAACCCAAACTTTTTAAGTGGTAGTATATGCAGAGTATGAACAAAAGTCTAAACATTTTAGATTCACTTTATGGCCCATTTATATTAAACTGAGAAATTTAGGGAAAAGTTTTAGCCTGAGCTTATTCAGTGCTCACTTCTGGGCTCGAAAACTCTGTTCTGGGTTGGTGTCACTCCTAGTTTCAGTGTCTGTGTCAGCTCTCTCTGCCCCAGAGCAAGGCAAGGGCACCTTGTGCTATAATTAAGCTCAGTGGGAAACAGAGACCCTGGCTATTTCAGAGCGAGTGTGCGTATGAACAGAAAACTTGCCGCCAAATTTCTGGGCAGACAGTGTGCATGACAGGAGCGTGATGTCTTGTTTTCGCTATCACACAAAAGAGACGGTGAGAAGTGTGTGTATGTGTGTGTGTGTTACTTCTAGGTGGTGTTGGGAAATATCTGGCTGCAATAGTTGAGTGATGAATTATGGCGCAGCTGTGAGAAGTTAGCTTAATAATATCTATGCTAGCTTGTAAAGCACTTCTGTTTGAATGAGTTGTTTGAATAGAGGCAGTTTATAAGGACTGTAAATAAGTATTTTCAAACTCTGTGTTTTTCAAGCAGTCAGGTTGATTTCTGCAACCAGCTAGCATGCCTTTTAATGGTCCTTTTATGGTTTAAATAGTCTAGTTTGTTGATTTGATTTAGTAAAACTTTCTATTTTGTTGTGTTTTTTGTGTTCCGTTTCATTATATTCTCTGAACTGATTAAGTTATGGTTGTCATCTTTGCTCAGTCTTTGTCTTGCTTCATTCCTATTTGTAGTAATACAAACACTTTTCATGCACTGCAGAAAATAGCTGTTAGAACTTATGAACTAAAACATTCAGAGATGTTTGTGCTTAAAACCAATGAAAAAATCTGCCAGTGGAAAAAGACAAAATACAGTTATATTCAAGATAGATTTTCTGAAAGCAAGTCTAGTTTTGCTTCTCAGATACTTGTCTTGTTTTAAAGAAACACTTGATTCAAAAATGAAAATTTCTGAAGTTTCTCGTAACTTCATGAAGTTAGACCTGCACAGCTGGCATAGGATTTTTGTGTACAAAACGGATAGTTCCGGTCTTTGATTCTGATTGGCTGAGCCACGTTCGAAGCTGTTGTAAATTACTCTACAAACATACACCTTTGTTTACGTTTGTGTGTTGCTCGGCAACCACTTTGTTGCAACAACAACTGATTCTGAGGAACTACATTGTTTGGTGGAAGAATAATGTTTTTATTAATATAATTACACTTTATTTGCCCTGTTTTATTTTGTGAAACCTTACTACATATATGGAATAACCGTTTTATAAAGGCAACAAGACTCCGCTTCGCGTCGTGCCTAACAACGCCCCTTAGCTGTTATAAATTCACTGTAAACCACGGCTTCTTGGGGCTTATTGCTTTATTTTGGGTGACATATTCCATTAAGGATCTTTCATTTAAAAATAGGATTTTTTTCATTTCATTCGTTGGTAATGTATACTGAAGTAACACTTAGCTAGAACCACCACACTTTACATGAAGGCATCTCGCTCCTCCGGCATTTTCTAGGCTTGAGAATGGCTGCAAAAACCCTATTGATATCAGTATGCTTTCTGTGTCCCATCTCTCTCTGTGTGATGTTGGGGGGCGTCTCACAGGAAAGCTTGTAGATAACAGTTCAGCTCAGTCAAACCCCAGCACCCAGCCTGACTCCGCCCACACACCTCCAGGCCCCTCCCCCGCTCTCTTCAGTAAGTGCCCTCTGACTGCCATGACCTCACCACCTTCCCATAATCCCCTTTTGCATGTGTGTGACACAGATCAGCACTAAAATTAGTAAAGTAGTGCCATTAAATGAGTGGCATTACTGGAGATTATGTTCACAATTTGTGTTCTCATTAGTAAACAGATACTTTGTTTTTAATCAAATCTAATCTTGCCGTTTTCTGTGTCCTGATTGTTTAACCAATTCCTGGTGGTTTCTCTGGATTTATTTAGAGGGATAGTTCAACAAAACAAAAAGAAAATTCTGTCATCATTTACTCACCTTACCTTCATGTTCTTCCAAGCATGTATGAATTTCTTTTTTCTCTGTGAAACATTAAGGAGGTGTTTACACAAAATTCCATTTTAAACTAAAAATGGAAAACTTATGCATTTTGGCTGTTCATTTACAAGACAATGGTGGTTTGGGGGCCTGAAAATGCAAACTTTTGAAAACAGGTTTCAAAGTGCAAGTTTTTGAAAACGATACCATTATCGTCTCGAATATCATGATGTCATGGACATGCGTTATTACGTGTTCGAATAGTGTTCCTTTAAAAAGTGACATTGCCAACTACTGGCATGGTGTGCATAAGACAGCGTTTTAAGTCGTTTTCGTGGATCCAGGGATCGTTTTGACAAAGTTGTCGTCTGTACACAAAAAACGCAAAGGAAAATGTTTTCTATTTTTAGCGCATCGTTGTTGTATAAACGTACCTTGAAAAAGAAATTATATATTATAAATACATGTGTATATGTATACTATCGTTCAATATTTTGGGGTCACTTCGAAGTTTTTAAGGTATTTCATGCCCACTAAGGCTTTTCTTTGATCAAAAATACAGAAAAAAGTAATATTGTGAAACAATATTATAATTTAAAATAACTGTTTTCTATTTGAATATATTTCAAAATGTAATTTATTCCTGTAATGGCAAAACTGTATTTTCAGCATTACTTTAGTGTCACATGATCCTGCAGAAATCATTCTGATATGCTGAATTGGTGCTCAAGAAACATTTGTTATTATTTCTTATTCAGAATTCTTTGATGAATAGAAAATAGAAAAACAGTTTATTCCAATCTACCCCTAACTTTTGAATGGTAGTGTATATTTTATTTATTTATTTAAAAAATACCATACAAGTCCATATAATCATTTGTGACCCTGCACCACAAAATGCTTGGGTATATTTGTAGCAATAGCCCAAAAAATTATAGATTTTTCTTTTATGCCAAAAATCATTAGGATATTAAGTAAAGATCATGTTCCATGAAAATATTTTGTACATTTCCTACCGTAAATATATCAAAACTTAATTTTTGACTAGTAATATGCATTGCTAAGAACTTCATTTGGAAAACTTTAAAGACGATTTTCTCAGTATTTTGATTTTTTTGCACCCTCAGATTCCAGATTTTCAAATAGTTGTATCTCGGCCAAATATTGTCCTATCCTAACAAACCACACATCAATGGAAAGCTTTCAGATGATGTATAAATCTCAATTTCCAAAAATGTACCCTTATGACTGGTTTTGTGGTCCAGGGTCACATTTGTTAAGTTAAAAGTCCATATAATCAGTTGCTACAGTATGTTCTTATGTTAGCCATATGGTAGCTTTGTGTGGAAAAGACTGAAATTATTTACTAGTAAATCTTACTCCTACTGCAGCTCAGATACCCCAAAACCATTGAATGTTTGAAATAATGTATGGGTAAACAATGATGAAATAGATTTTAATTTTTGAGTAAACTGTTCCTTTAATGCCACTGCACACAGGACTGCTATAACTGTTCTGCTCCTTTTCTAAGCTCAACTCCACTCTGTTATTTCTGTCCTGCCCTGTCTGGGCCCACAGCTGCCACTAAGTTCACTGATCTATTGGGTGTAGTTCGCCGGGGCTCGGTGCCTACATATGATGGTGAGGGGGGGAGAACTATCACTCCAGCTGTTGTTTCTGCCCCCTCCACTCCCCAGAACCCTAACATTCCCACACAGAGTAAGTCCCTGATGGACCAGTATGCAAACAGGTTATTCAGAAGAAGTTCCATGTTTATTAGAAACTTTTCGCTCACTGCATATTTGATTAACCATGTTTTCTGCTAGTGACTAGTCTTTTTTTTTTTCTTCTGTCATCTGCCTTTCGTCAATTATGCATCCAGTGTCACGTTTGACTGATCTAGTGAGCAGTGTGCGCAGACCTACAGCCCCTCATACAGACAGTGAGCCATCAGCAGCCAGCAGACCCCTTACTGCCCCAGTATCTGCCCCATCACACCCCTCCCCTTCCCCTGCTCAACCGTCCTCGAGCCCCCTGCTGTCAGCACATTGTGAGTATGTGGTGTCAGTGTCTGTGCTGGCATTACTGGCACAGCAGCATGAGTTTTTGATTTCCTGGGAGTGTAAAAAAGCAGCAATGATGCTACTGGACTAACATGCATAGAGTGTGGATTTCTCGAATGATTTAATCACATCACTGTGTACACCTGGCTGGGAGTAACATGCATCTCAAATGCGTCATCTGTGACCACTTTTGTATTATGAAGAGGAGAGTCTCTCACAAGTATTATTGCAGGTTGATACAGCACAAAAAAACTAAAAAGTTGAAAAAATATACTGTATATACAGATACACACTACTATTCAGACTTTTGGGATTGGTAAGATTTTTTTTGTTTTTGAAAAGTCTCTTATGGCTTCCAAGGCTGCATTTATTTGATAAAAAAAATGCAGTAAATATTATCACAATTATAAAAAGTCTTCTATTTGAATATTTTAAAATAGTAAAAGTTTTCAGCAGTCATTACTCCAGTCTTCAGTGTCAAATAATCCTTCAGGAATCATTCTAATATGCTGATTTGTTGCTCAAGAAGCATTACTTATTATTATAATTATTATAAGAAATCTATGATATTGTTATGTCACATTAAAACTCTCTTGGAAACTTCTTACCATTCTGTCATAAGTATCATATTTTGTCTTTTTTTTTTTTCTTCACACAAAAATAATCATTAAACAGTATATTTAAGTAATATAAACAAACTACTTGTGATTGGACCACCTGGTCTTACAGAGAATCTTTGAATTGTGTTGCCTCTAGAGATTGAGTTGTGTTTTAACCTTCAGTTATTTGAGCTGTGGTATTTGGAGTCCTGTGACTAACAGAGCTGGAAAGGAAATGCTGTGTGTGAGAGCACGTACGGTAGTGTAGGTGGCTGAAATCTGTTTGGGTGGATGTTCAGACAACCTGTTTTTTTTTTTTATTTGTGTGTGTGTGTGTGGGCTTCTGTCTGTCACAGCAGCTTGTGTACTGATGCAAAAAGACACATTAGAAATGAGTCTACTGAATAAATTAGAGTGAACCTGTGAAACATATTTTGCGGTGTTTTAAAAGATATTACTGCTTACCCATAATGCTCCTCCTTCATGCGCATACTAATACAAGCTGGCTTCTGTTAACGCCGACTTCCTCTTTCTACAGCACGCAAACAGGAGATCATCAAAATCACTGAACAGCTTATTGAGGCTATCAACAATGGCGACTTTGAAGCCTATGCGTAAGTTACTTGTGTGTGAGGTGTATTTTTAACTTTACCCACAATTGACAGTAAATGAGATGGCACTGAAACAATTGCTTTAATTATTTCCAGTAAAATCTGCGACCCTGGACTCACCTGCTTTGAACCTGAGGCCTTGGGAAACCTGGTGGAGGGGATGGACTTCCACAGATTTTACTTTGAGAACTGTAAGCGGAGTCGGATTACTCTTCACTTCTACCCTGTCGGTCATGACGTCTGTTCATTAAAGTGTGGCCGTTTCTCACTCTGTCATAGTGCTGTCTAAGAACAGTAAGCCCATCCACACCACCATCCTTAACCCTCACGTGCACCTGATTGGAGATGAGGCCGCCTGCATCGCCTACATCCGCCTCACGCAATACGTGGATGAGCAGGGCCGGCCGCGCAGCAGCCAATCTGAAGAGACGAGGGTGTGGCATCGCCGGGACTCTAAATGGCAGAATGTCCATTTCCACTGTTCGGGAGCTCCAGCCGCCCCTCTACAGTGAAGGTACATCCTCGTATAGACAGATTAATGTTATTTAAAGGGTTAGTTCACCCAAAAATGAAAATTCTGTCATTAATTACTCACCCTCATGTCATTCTAAACCCGTAAGACCTCCGTTCATCTTCGAAACACAAATTAAGATGTTTTTGATTAATTCTTAGAGCTCTCTGACCCTCCATAGACAGCAATGTAATTACCACGATCAAGGTCCAGAAACGTAGCAAGGAGATCGGTAAAATAATCCATGTGACCTCAGCGGTTCAACCATAATTTTACGAAGCTACGAGAATACTTTTTCACACACACACACGTCACCGCGCAAAAATTAAAATTCTGTCATTAATTACTCACCCTCATGTCATTCTAAACCCGTAAGACCTCCGTTCATCTTCGAAACACAAATTAAGATGTTTTTGATTAATTCTTAGAGCTCTCTGACCCTCCATAGACAACAATGTAATTACCACGATCAAGGTCCAGAAACGTAGCAAGGAGATCGGTAAAATAATCCATGTGACCTCAGCGGTTCAACCATAATTTTACGAAGCTACGAGAATACTTTTTCACACACACACACGTCACCGCGTGACGCATCTGACACAGAATAGCATACGCTGTTTGCCTTCAGTGGATACTCTCCAAAATGGCGCTAGGGTGGGGAGACGAATTGTTGAATAAAGTCGTTATTTTTGTTTTCTTTGCGGTGCCGGAGATGAACGGAGGTCTTACGGGTTTAGAACGACACGAGGGTGAGTAATAAATGACAGAATTTTTATTTTTGGTTGAACTATCTCTTTAAGTCTTTAACAAATTCTCCTTGTGCCTTAAAATAATCAAATTTTGTACACTACCGTTTAAAAAGTTTGCAGTCAGATGTTCTTTTGAATTTGAAGAATCCTGAACAAAATGTATCACAGTTTTCACAAAAATATTTAGCAGCATCTTCATTATATAGTTGCCTTAAAATATGCCGGTATTATATAATTCACCACTGTTAGAGAGAACACATTTTGGTCTTTTCACAGTTACTGAGATATAACCCTAGTGACAATTACACTATAAACATTTTTTTTTTTTTAAGTTGTAAATAAAACATATTGTTGGAGTATGTTTTTCTAGAAAATACTATTTCAGTCTTTCTACTTCAAAAAATTCTGTTTAATTCAGTATTTCTTTGTAATTATTTGTGAAATTTTCGAATTAAATTTGTTTCTACACCAATTTTTATTTATTTTTTCTTCAGTGTAGCCTTGGTCTGCTCATTGCACACTCTTGAACAGATTGTGTAGTTGTACAAAGTGACGACACGCAGCTAACAACCTTATTTTTCCTCAGGTTGAGCTCATTGTAGCCACATCTAACAAGAGAGCCCAGCCAGAAATGGAGAGTGCAAGAGTAAAAGAGAGAGAGTGAGGGAGGGGGGGGAAGTTGGAGAGAGGGAGGAAGGAAAGCGAGCCCAGTGATGGGTGGCTGTGAGTCTGCAGCGCCTGACCCTCGGGGGGGGGGGGGGGGGAAGTTGGAGAGAGGGAGGAAGGAAAGCGAGCCCAGTGATGGGTAGCTGTGAGTCTGCAGTGCCTGACCCTCCCACAATGGGCCCGGCCCCCTCACCTGCCAATCACTTTTGTGCGTCGTCTTCTGTCTTACCTTCAGCTTTACCCCCTCCCTCCCAGACACCGTCCCTGTATCTTTACACCCGTGCAGAGACTCACCTCGTTGTGCACATGTGCTGTGTGGAGTTGGACAGTCTTTGATTAGTACGGATAATAAAGCCTCAGCGAGTCGTCTGTGAAATGCCATGCTTTCTGTCGCACCTTCCCAGTGTGAGTAATGTTACACTGATTCGCCGTCCTCACTTACAGTGTGTAGATTTTCAATAATATTGTTATTCTTCTTATTATTATTAATATTGTTCTTACTGTTGTTATTAGTATTAAATACAAAAGCAATTGTATGTGTCACTTACACAATTCACGTTCTGGATGCCAATGATTTGTAATTTATGCCTTTTCTTTTCCGAACATTTTTGGAGAGCATGATTTTTTCATTATATCATTATATCCATTTCTGTGGTGATATGGAGAAATAATGGCCGCCGTTTATGTACAGGCTTCTCAGTGTGATTCACATCCAACCGAAGCGTCTGTCCATGTGTGTTCAAACGTTAGTGGACATTTGTTGGTATGTGTGTCTGTTTTGGGGCAGATTCTACCAGAGCCTGATAAAGAACGACGTGATGTTCGGGGTCTTCCAGCTTTAGTCGTTATTTCTCGCATCATTAGCTCAGATTTGGAATAATTCAGCAGATTTGCTGTCAGTTGGCGAACTTCATATTGTATGAACAATTCCTTGTTCTGGAAAGCCACAATTGTGCTTTATATGTAACCTGTTGCAACGTTAGTATTAGATTTTAGTGTTAGTGTTGCGATATTTCGAATTTTTTTCGTTTCTTCTTCAGCTGAGCCAGCGGTGTTAGGTTGGACCGACTGAATCAAACTAAAAGCCATACCTCAGCTGAACATACAGTAGGCATACCAGATGATGACCTCCTCATTCGTGTGTTTTCTCGGACTATGGAAAGATGTGGACATCCAATGACATCATTAGAGGAGATTGTTCTAAAAAAAAACAACTATTGTATCTCAACACTAGTCATAGTGGAGGTTTAAAGTCATTGGAGGCCATTAGAGAGCAGCTGATTGAAGGAATTTTGGTGGGTTTTTAGCTGACGGAGTTACATATTTTTGCTTTTTTGAGTTTTTTTGCTCTTATATGTTGACATTTATATTTTTCGTGACATATAGCGTTGACTTATCAATATTACTCATTCTATTTTTGAGAGTTTATATATATTTAGTTTGTCGTCGGTGAGAGACTTTTAAGGAGAGTGAAAATGTTGTTACCCTGGATCCTTTTTAAAGTGTGTTTACCCTTTGGATGGGCAAAGTGCAAGGAGCGTGAAAGTCTTTCGAAGAATGAAGAGGTTCGTAGTCAAAATCGGCAGCAATAGTTTTATATGTCAGAAGATGGTAAGATAGAGTTTATGGAGTGCATGTCACACCTCGTACAACTTTATACTGGTTTCACTCTACTTCTAAAGGGTTTGAGCCATGGTGAACTGACGTGTCAGTGTGACATCATCACCCGGTCATGTGACTATTTTATTGACCTTGTGTCCTCAGGTTGTATTTATTTATTTGATATTATCGCAACTTCTTACATGCTTCTTACGTTTGTGTACGACACTTTGTCTAATGTTTGAACTCACTAGCTTTGAGCCACGTCATATCGATAATGACTACTGATCTTTTTTGTTGTTATTATTTGAAAGAAATTGTCTCTCACACAGATAAAAAGAGGCAATCTTTTAAAATCCAATCAAAATATTTCTCTCAAACAAAGCGACCCCGCGAGGCACGTGTACTTGTGTTTGTGCTCCGGTGTTCTGCTTCTGTTAAAGTTGCGTCTCATTCGTCAATGCTTTATCTCATGCAAAACTTCACCTGTGTTTATACGAGTGATCAGAGTTCCACACCTGTCCGCTCCCTAAAAAAAAAATCACAAAAAAAAAACACAAACAAAGCAAAACAGCATGTAAAAAGTGTACTGTTCTGTGTGTTTAGCAACGAAAATAAACATGTTGAAGAGTGAAAGTGCACATCGCTATTAAAACAGGACACACAGTATTGAAACTGCAGTTTACATGCATTTCAGCTGGAATTTCTTTGCATGATAGTCACTTGAACACTAGGTTTGGTGTTATTTATCTTTTTGATTTAATTTTTTCTATTGAATGCTGGTTTACCTAAACCTTTCTCTTATCTGTTTTACCAGTATATATATATATATATATATATAATATTTTTGTCCCAAAATTATGCTGACAATGGCTGTGTAAATGACGAAGACTATAGCTACGAAATGTCGGTGATTATGGAAATGGTGATATTTCTACAGCATGCTTTTGTATTAAGCTCATTGTTGTCAGTGCAGGGTGACTGATATTTATATTAACGACTATAAGATTTCTCATTAGTATGAGACTGCTTAACTTCAGAGAAGCACTTGCAATATTAGCTAAATATGCATGGTTTTTTTTCGAAATCACTTGAAGCTAAATTTGTATCGGCAGTGACATAGATCTGCTGTTTGTGCTTTGCGGATATTCACCAAACCTGAATGGCCAATAAAATCATGGATTGTTTCTGACTTTTATCAGTCTTTTATGACTAACTTAACAATTACAGCTCAGTAGATAGCGGAGATCCAGAGTATTTTTACCTGCACCGACGACATTGTCCATCTTTAAGCACAGGACTGTTTCCGTTCGACTCGTCATATCACTTCTCTGATTGGAAACAGTACCGGATAGTTTCTCTGAAGTTGAGTTTTCTCACAGTAGCCCTCTGTTAGTTTTGTTTTTCTGTATAAGATAATATTCTCTTTGATTTCTGAGGATTCTTACTCTTGTTATTGCTCTGTTCTCAAACATGCTCTGTGTATTCCCTGACTTAAGCAAATGTGTTCAAAAGATATAAATAAATGATTTAAATACTGAAGAATCTTGTGCATGTATTCAAAATTGACAAGCAATATGTTTTTAAAGGGTTTTTACTTGAAATAATGCATGCTGATGGCTTATACCATCAATCAACAACCTCATAGCTCCCAGTTGGTCTATTTCAACATGTTAAAAAATCAATTCCACTATGGAGAAAATGAATGGGATTTTTACTTCCTTAACCTGACTATTGCAATCTATTTTAGGGATTTTTAAAACTGTCATTTCCAGGCCTGCCAGGTTATGGAAATAAGTACAATCTTTAAATCAATCGTAATATTTAATATTGAGGGTTTTGAAGGAGACATTTTACACTACTCCGTAAGCTGTAATGCAAATGGGAATAGCTTTTTCAACCACTTTTTTATCTTTATTTTCCATTAGCATTTAAAATGCTTTTTAATTAAAAAATTCTACCTTGGGTAAAAATGAACCTTTTTCCTTTTTTTTTTTGGTACTTTTTTAGAGTTTAAAAATGTCACCTTTGACATGGAGTGATCAAATGTATAAATGCAAAAGGAAATGTAAATAGCTTTGGATAAAAGCATATGCCAAATGCATTAATGCAACCTTTGTAATTCTGCTAGATTTGTACGCTTTCGTGCTTTGATTTGTTTGCATTTCTAAATGGTCACCCTCCATCTTCTTAAATGGAATTTGTAGAGACCTATTTACATTCTTCACTAATTAAAGTGTTTAATGAAAACATGGGCAATTCAATACTGCATGTCAAACACCACATCAATCATCATCAAATAAATTACACTGTAAAAAACAGCACACACAACGTCAAAACTCTAAATAGTGCCATAAAAATCACATTCATACAAACCAAAAACTAGCATGGTTTTCCATAAGCAACATAAGAATCAGTCTGCTTCTCAAACATGCAAACAAAAAGCACTGTATACTGTTATCAGGCCAGTTTAACTAGTCTCTCACTGGCCTCCCAAAGTTTTTTTGCTACTCCAGAATCTCTAGCGAAGGCTCTTAGATGAGCCGGCCGACAGTCAGTGAAGTATCCTCCGTTGTGCGGCAGCACCTCGTCTGATACAGCGCAGTAGACCACCGTCTGCGCCCCAGCCTCACATGAAACAAAAAACATGAACATCACCACCTGCACCAGGATCCGGAACAGAACTGAGTAATGACAGGTCCAGTTACTCTGAACGTAACCTGAATGAGACAAAAGATACAAGATGAACTTCACAATAATCAGTTCAGACGATTATAGATTCTTGCTAAGGTGAAGATCACTATTATTACAGCTCACACTTAGGGACACCAGGAACACCCTAGCAACCACATAGCAACCTTTTCTGCAGTTGTAGAGAAAGTCAGGCTATATTTTAGATATCTCACCAGGGTGAACGGCATACGCAGTCACTCCTTTCCCCTCCATCATGTGAGCGAGCTCCTGTGTGAAGTAAATGTTGGCCAGCTTGCTGCGGCAGTAGGTGAAGAACGGGAACAGGTTGTAGTTGAGATCTTGGAAGTCCAGCTTCTGGTACTTGTAGCTGGAGCAGGTGAGGGTGATCACTCTGCTCGGTGAGCTCTCTTTCAGTCGTGGGAGAAGAAGGTTCGTCAGTAAGAAGTGGCCAAGGTGGTTCACGCCAAAGCACATGGAGAAATCATCATCTGTCCAGTCGAGAACGCTGGGCATGCCTGAGGGGAAAAAACATACATTTGATGAAAGCACAGTAAATTTGTAATATTGTGTGAAATATTATTACAATTTAAGAAATTTGTGAATGTAATTTATTTCATGCTGATTTGGTGCTCTTGAAACATCTCTTAATGTTGAGTTTTTGCCGCTTAATAATATTGTGGAAATCGTGATACACTAGATAGGGCCCTAACTTATGTTTTTTTTTTTTGTTATTAAAAATAAAAAATAAGCAAGCCCAGCCCAGGTGACAAAAAGTAATGCAAAAGTAACGTTATGCATTACTTTAAATAAAAGTAACTAAGTAACGCAATTTGTTACTTTTTTATGGAGTAATATTGTAATGCATTACTTTTAAAAGTAACTTTCCTCAACACTGTCTAGAGGGTCCCCGGACCCCAGTGTGAAAACCCTTGGTTTAGACCACCAGTTGCCACCCTGATATCCATCCTCACCTGCGTTATTGATCAGAATATCCAGCCGTTTCTCCTTTTGTAAGAAGGTTTTGCTGAACTCTCGTATAGACCTCATGTTGGCCAGGTCAACCTCCATATACAGCACATTCATATTGTGGCTCCTGGCTTTGATCTCTCGAACAGCCTTCCTGGCTTTCTCCTCATCCCTGCAGGCGATGATCACACGAGCTCCTCGCAAAGCCAGCAACACAGCCGTCTCCTTCCCAATACCACTGTTCCCACCTGAAACATACAGCCGCCATGCCACATGAGATGTACAAGAATAAAAGAGGGTCTTAAAAGCAGGGGAGCTTTACACTTCTCAAACATCTCATTCACAATAGCAATGACCTTCCTATAAAGGATACTCCAGAACAACACAGAGTAACACATGATTCTCATCATTCAACAAATGTAATTTGGCTTTAGATGACGGTTTGGCTTTTAATATGTAAAGGAATATGTAAAAAGACAAATGAAAAGGCATACAATCAACTCGAATGATTTGTATGACCTGTAGTAGCATTCAGCAGCTGTCCATCATGTTACTCTAAGAGATGCTACTCTTAATAATCGGAGATATGAAGCCTAAAGTACTCACCAGTTATAAGAACCGTTTTTCCATCTAACCTCTTCACATCCATGCAATACCTTCTCCGTTTCAGCCATTTCAATATCAAAAAGCACAAAAGTGCGGATAATATAGTGTATAACAGATACATGCTCTGTTAGCTAAGCCAGCATAAAACAAACTGACCTCTTTAAAGCTATTGCTAATGCAACATTCAATTAAATTATTGCCACTTTTTAGCTCACAGCTTTAGCCCATTCAGAGGGGGAACATGGCAATTAATTGTTCATTTGGATTCAAGGATTTTTCATTTTAAAAACGTACTGTAGCATCGGAGACTGTGTTTACAGCCTGATACTGTAGCCATTAGCCATGTACGTTAGATTATCATACAGTCGTGCCGGTAGGGGCGCTGGCGTGCGCTAATCGTGTATGTGACACTGTCTCGCTGTAGAATGAGAAGCATTGACTTTACACATAAACTGTAGTCTTGTCCATATACCCACACTTGCGGTCTTTGCACTTGACCACTTGACTACTTATATAACGTATTTCCTGTATTTGGCCCAAGTGTTCAAGTGAGCATGAAGACCACAAGTGTGTGTCGAACTTTTCATTACCTGATGGGACACACTTGTAGTGTTGTAAAAATGCAAGTGTTTACATAGCTTTATTTTAATTTTAAATACTTTGCATTTTAAAATCAACTTCTACATGTCTGTTCAGTAGTCCATATAACATGACAATTTTAATTTGTGGTGCTTCTAATTAAGTGATAAAAAGCAGTTGCACATGTTGTACAAAATAAATATCACCACTACTCATCTTTGCACCAATAAAACGTAAAAACAGTGTTTTTCTACCAAATTATATGTAGTATCTAATTATTATATTAATATTTAACTTGCATTGGAAAGGTTTCCATGACCTCTCGCGAGATCTCGGCAAAAAGTCTCACGATTTATTTCCAGAACATGATGCATGATGGGATACACTAAGCCTCGAATAGCGCTCCGGAGCGGTATTCGAGATAGTGTGGGTTTAGTATCCAATAAGGGCACTGCGCTCTGGCGTTTTTAAAGTCCGCGTGAACCGGAAGTTGCTGCCGACTTTATTTCAGTGTAGTGACGTATTTCCATCTGAAACGGAATATTGAATAGAGGGCATGGTTTTGTGTTTGCGCTGCTCCTCTGTCTCTCACTCATAGCAATCTAACGGTTAGAAGGGTGTGTTTAGAAGGATATTCTGCCCAAGCCGTCAAACTGACGCCATCAGAGAAGGACTGCCATTCCAGAGCGGAAGTAAATGTTCAGATTTTGATTAAAGATTACGAAGACAAACCATTTTTTTTCAGCGGATTAACTTGCACGGATTAATTGTTTACATCAAGACTAGCAATGTGCGCTAGTGAAGTAAATAAAGTCAATTTTGATTTCATGTGGACTTTAAGAGGAAAATGGAATTCATTGTTAATGATCCGCAGAAACATTTAAATTAACTTTGTGTTAGCTCCATTTGAGTAGCACTGCATAAAGCAGGAATTCAGCCAAGGAAAGCCTAAACACCATTTTTACCTTTGTTTAACTAATTTATGTCAATATGTTTTTTTTTTAATAATCTTAAAGGACTATAATCCTAGTGGAATGTATTCTTCCTCATTTTTTGATCTCAAACAGTCAAACAGATAATGAATATAACAGTTCAGGAGCAGATCCAGGGGACAATGTAGCCTTTAACACACATGACCTTGTTCTGTGGTAAACGGTGATAAGCATGTTAAGTTCTGACTCTTGTCACAGCAGACACTAGAGTTATTAACTGGATGTTTCTCTTGTTAATAAATGATTAATTTAAAAACTATGGAGATGACAGTTATGTCTAAATTAAATTATATGACTTCATCAATCAGCCAGAGATGTTTTAGGTCAAAGCTACCGCTCTGGGGGCTCATATTTGTGTGTGTATTTGTGCAGGATGGGCTATTATATAGAAACAAGTGCGTGTCAGAGTATGACATTGCTCTGGGCCCTTTATTCTGCTTGTTACAGTGTTGAAGTAGTTGCTGCCGACTTTATTTCAGTGTAGTGACGTATTTCCATCTGAAACGGAATATTGAATAGAGGGCATGGTTTTGTGTTTGCGCTGCTCCTCTGTCTCTCACTCATAGCAATCTAACGGTTAGAAGGGTGTGTTTAGAAGGATATTCTGCCCAAGCCGTCAAACTGACGCCATCAGAGAAGGACTGCCATTCCAGAGCGGAAGTAAATGTTCAGATTTTGATTAAAGATTACGAAGACAAACCATTTTTTTTCAGCGGATTAACTTGCACGGATTAATTGTTTACATCAAGACTAGCAATGTGCGCTAGTGAAGTAAATAAAGTCAATTTTGATTTCATGTGGACTTTAAGACCTGGGACAGTCTTGCGCACTTACTTCCTGTCGCGCGCACGCGCTCTCAAGTGGCCAAGACCGCAAGTGTGTGTATTTGGACAAGGGGCGTGTCTCATTTAGAAGGCTGCGCCCTCCGGAGGTCGAATCCTCTGGAGGTCGCATCCTCTGTAGGATGAGTATACGAAGTGTCCTCAACCTAGAATTAAACGAGACGGCCTTCGTAGTTCATGAATGTAGCATGTCATCAGTACTTCAGTGTTGGTTAGTATGCCTACGTACTTATTTATAGAATATCTATTTTATATTATATTTATTTATTATACCTTTCAAAATATTGCGGTTGGTAAGACTTTTAAAAATGTTTTTGAATTTGTTATTTGAAAAAAGATATAGTAAAATTGTCATATTGTACAAATTTTAAAAATTGTAAACAATGTTTTTAATTTTTATGTATTTTAAAATGTAATTTATTCCTGTGAAGGCAACGTTCAATTTTAATCTCTAATACGCAGATTTGTTGCTCAAAAACATTTCTTATTATTATCAATGTTAAAAATCTTTGTGCTGCTTTCGATAAACAGAAAGCTTTTATTTTAAATATACATCTTTTGTAACATTATAAATGTCTTTACTTTATCTATAACGTACGATTAACTCATTTGCTTGGTTAGTTGCCTGTTTTCATAACATGTGAATTTTGTGCATCTCAGAAGCGTGGAGATTGACAGTAGGTGAGCTACAGGTGGACTGTCGTCCCAGACGTCAGGACGGAGTGGACAGACTGGCTGTATGCAGGGGGTTGTTAACTTGCTGCAGAAATGACATTCTTGTCAGTCACCATGGCAAAAAAAGGGTACATAAGCAGTGCATAGACTGCTTTTTCTAAGAATGATCCAAAGTGGAACATATAAGTACTTACTCTTTCTTTTGTTTTATCAGACTTGTCTTCTCCTGAATGGGTTGTTCCCCTTCATCTCAGCTCTTTGTGAAGAAAAGCTTGACTGTCATTACTATGTTTTTCAAGGTACAAGCTCTCTATCATCATGTGTCATTCTGTAGATTGCTAGGTCCATACATGACCGCAGTGACAAAAGTTGTATGCATATGTGTTTTGTAGTGTTTACCATTTGGCTGAAGAGGCTGAAAGAGTGCCTCAGTGAGGTTTGGGAAGTTACTGGTGCTCCTTTCGATTCAGACCTCCAGCAGCACCTTATACAAATCATCTGGAGCAATGCAGAGACCCCAGTAAGCCTTTTACGTACAATGAATTTGAATATTCTTTATTTTAAGGTATATGGATTTGAACAAACCCCTAAGGGCCATGTTTTAAAACCACTCAGAACACTCTAGCAGTTTTGTACGGGCAACAACCACTCATATTTTCTTAAGAAAATTTAAAAATCCATATTAAATGATAAAACCAGACATTTAACCAAAGTTAATTACAGCAAAACATCCATTCTGCTGGTATTTTCTTCATTACTTTTATTGTAGTTGGATGGTGTTGCGGAGGTGACACGCAGTGCTTTCTGTCTGCTTATGGAGATCTATGAGAAGGATTGTCTGCACTTTGAGAACACTGAGAAAAGACTTTATGTGGAATTATTGAATAGCATATCAGAACTGCCTTGGGAATCCAAAGCAAAATATTTACCACTTACTGCAATTCTGCCATATGCAGGAACAGACCAGGTAAGAGAAGTGACTGGGCACCCTTGTACATGCTACTCCATTTTTGTATTTGACATTTTTTTTATGCATTTTATAGCTATCATGTTATTATTAATAATATAATATGAATATTATTAATAATATTGTAAGTATAAGAATAAAGAAAAAAAATTTAAAAATATTTTTAAATATTTATAAATTTATTCTCATGTAAATTATAGTATACATTTTATATAATATAAATGTAAAAATAAAATAAATAATATAATATTTATATCAAAAATACATTTTTATGTAATTACTACATATTTTGGAAACAAAGTTTTATCTTCGCTTTCTGAGAGGCTTATTAGCATCAGTTCATTATCAAATTAATTGTAAATAAATGTAAATTAAAATGTAGTTTCTCCTCTTAAAAAGGTTTTGGAACTGTATCCAGCTCTTCCCTCTCACATCCTAAAATGCGTCTCCACCAATCACCTTTCTCCATGTGTCTCAGAAGTCTACAGATCCCTCCTCCAGGAACAGAAACGGGAGCTGCTTATAAATGCATCCCAAGAAGCACCACCCACTGAACAAGACTTAGCTAATCAATGGGTTCTGCGGTGGCAACCAGTCATTCTAAAGGCTTTGACTTCAGAATCAATTCTTCTTCAAAAAACCGCTTCTAGCCATCTTCTGCCTTTGACACTACGTACATTTCCAAGTGCTTTTAACACTCTGTTGTCAGCTCTGGACCCCATGGCTCCCAGTCACCTTCACGCGTGGTCCTGTGTCATGAGCGCCCAGCGGGCCACAAGTGGAAATTCTCTTTGGAGTGTAGACAGCCCCCATGTTCTTCAGACTCTCCATCTTGCCCTCTCCTCTCTGGATGACAGTGTCCGGCTTGCAGCTCTGAACCTCCTCTGCTGCAGTCCAAAGACTAAAGAAGCCCCATCACAAGTGGAGTATTCCACTCTGAGAGACTTCATCTCACTCAATCTCAACAGCGAATCGTCACCATTCCGCCAGCATCTTCAGGCAGCACTGAGGAAATTCTTGGTGAGAATAAGAGACCGTTGCATGGCAAGCATCAAGGGCCATAATAGTAAAAAAGGGCTCACGGAGAAAGAGGAGGCGGAGCTTAAACAAGGAGTCGGTGAGGAATTTTGAAATTAACATTTTATGAAAATACATCTTATATATTTTTATATTTGATTTCAACATTATTTTAAAGGTGCACAAGTAATATTTGCTGCCACTCATTTGTCTTTCTAAATAACCAATATGATGATAGTCTTTGACTACTGGCATCTATTGGCATGGATGCAAGTTTTCAATTTTCAGTGCCATTGTAGAAGTTTATAGG